ATAAAAAAAGAAAGATGAAATCAATCAGAATTAGTGGTGTAAGCTGCTCTCATAACGAAAGATACTAAATTTTTCAATGGGAATAATCAATTAAATAGCATCCAGTATTGATTTCCTTCCGATATCATTCAGAAACTAGAAAGAAAATTAACATTATATAACACGACATAATATTGTTACTTCCCAAATTGATAACTCTTACGTACACCAAAAACAAGATTGTGATCAACAATGAGGTGAGGGTGAGAGGATATTCAAGAATTGAAAAACAAAGATCTTTTTAAAAAGTAAAATTTTGATAAAGAAAATCGTTCAGTTCGAATCCGAGATGAAGAAAGTCTGGCTTGCATTCAAATCGGATTCAACGAATTGAAATTTAAAACTGAGTGATTGTCTATCACGATTTTATTCTGTTATTACAATTCGATTGTAGAGCGCATCTGTCCAATCTAGAAAATGTGAAGGAATTCTTTACATCAATGCTTAGAATGAGTTATTTAAATTTTTTCTTCTAGATTTTTCTGTTCATGATTTAGCAACATATTCTAAATTCTTACCGTAAATAGTACTGATCTCAGTACAGAAAACTTGAACTCATAAAATTTTTAGAAAAACTGAAGCCCAGCCATTTTCCTATTGTTCATAAGGCTTCCTTTGTAATGATCGTGGTGCTGAGCTCGACATATAGACGAAAATAGGTGAAAAAATTGACATTTTATTTACGACTATGTATTCTTTTCGTTTCATACAAAAAAGGCCTTCAAAATATTGAATGGTCATACCAACATATATTGACATGGACAAGGTCATCATCATGTGAACGGACTCATACTTGCGATCTGATTTGATGAAATTTGCAAAAAAAAATAGCGACCGGGCAATGTATAAGTTGATCTGAGATAGCCGATCGATCAAGAAGACGCTTCTTTGGCTTAGTTGTTGTTGATTAGTGATAACGTGCATATCATTCTACGGCACACTTCAATACATACCGATTACCTCGTGTACTATCAAAGGTCTACAAGCATGATGTTTCTCTTGATCGGTCTCTGTCAATTGTTCATTATATCAATTGATATTACACATTCGATACCTCTTTCGATACCGTCTGACGTTGAAACACAAATTTCAATGAGCAACTGGAAATGACTTAAACAATAGTCAATGCGCATTTCCAAGTATACCGGGACGTTTTACAAACGGTATTCTGCATCCCGATCTTGAATGGTCAAGGCTTCATAATTGTGAGCGTGCTATTTTCTTTTCTAGTTCTATGAATTCTATGTGTATTAAATTTTATAGACACGATACTTCTGGGTGCCCCGTCAACGCCAGAATATGACTAACTTATCTATCAAGGCGAAAATTCTCTCTTTGTTCTTGTCGGTAAACCAGGTGTAATATGGCAGCCTCTGACTAGTCAATGTGTACATATCAAAAGAATAAGCACCAAAATTGATGGTACCGATCCGAATGATTCAAGTGAGACATTTTTGTTTTTTGTTTTCGTTTCAAATTTTGTAGCAAGTTCGATAGTGATTACAGAACTCGATAGAATTATTGCTACCTGACGATAAAGTATGACAGCATGTATCAAAATATGAATGCACCGATTTCTAATCCAGTTAACTCTAAATATTTCTTGTGAAAATCGGTAGTCACGTTACGATCTTAGGGATACAAAAATATGCACATCATTATACAACCATATTGTTTTTTTCTTTTTTACAGTATTGTTATTCAGGAAGCCAAATAGTTTTAAAAAAAAAAGACAAAAACCAAGATTATTTTTCGCACACTAGAAAAAATAATTTTCTTATTATTATTTTTTCTTCTAGCCGTTTGCGTGAAGCATAAAACATTGATCACGAGTTATGAATGTGAAATAGACAATCCTAATGTGGCTCGCTTCAAATATGATAAGGATAAACCATAACGATTGTTTTTATTAGAAGATGACATCAAGACAGGAAAAAGAGAAGAATGGTGCATTCGAAATTCGTACAAAAGTTCAATTCAAGTGATATCCAAATGTGACTTAGATCCTGATTTGAAGTCTGAACAACCGAAGGCATTTTTCCACGAAGCTTGTTGAAAACTGTTGATGAAGTTTGTTATTAACAGTGTGTATAGTGTAGTTCTTTTTTGTTTCGAATTATTACACCACTTAGAGCATATCAATAGTAGTGGTAGTGATACTTTAGCTGCTTATAAAATGGTTAAAGAAACTTTTTTTCTTCATAATCTAATAGTAAAAATGACATTTATTCTTCTGCACTATTATATCATTCTTTAAGTAATATCATAATAATCATATATTTAATAAGACCTTTTTGTTACTGATGTGTGATGGTTACATAAGTTCTTCTTGATTTTCTCTTCGTTCTTCTCCTCTCTTGTCTTTATTCTTTCTTTTTTGTTTTTTTTTAATATCTCAACGTCTATACATATACACATATGACGACGCATATCTTATTTGTTTTCTTTGTATCTGTAGTTCATTAGTGGGTTCTCGAGAAATTCAAAGAAATAAAATTAGACTAAACCATGAAACTGTTCATCTGTTTTGAATGACTAAAAATATTTTTTATGCATACATTAAAGTGCATACATCACTTAATATTCAAACAAGAAATTATTTATGATCAATTCTATTCTGCTTGTGGTGATGAAGCTTCTTTTCTTAAGACAGCTGAAAGATGGTCTAAATGATTTCATGAAGGTCAATCAGAGATAAACAACGAATTAGAATGTTTTATGCTCCATATCAAACGCCATCTATATATACGGAGGTTTCAACTTAAAAAGTAAAGAAAGCCAAGTCTATCATTGAAAAGAATACGATGGATAAATTCTAAACAAAATGGAGTATTCAGTCTAATGAAAAATATACTGTTTAGTACAGAATCCTATGCAATTAACGAATATGTGATGGCTTTTGCCTTTTTCTCTTTCATCTTGATTTTAACTGCGCTTTTCGGAAAAAAGATGAAATTCCATAATGAACACTATTCCTAATTTTCTATTCGATGCAATTATCCTTGATAAGAAACGAACAGCGTTTATATGTCACGTTTATAGGCATACAACTTTTTTTTCATATTAAAATTCTTAACACTCACGTCAGCTCCGTGAAAGAAAAGTTCCACGTTTTGAAATTCTGTAACTATCGATGTGTTTTTAACCATTTAGTTCTGTATTTTTGCAGAAAATTCGATGTCATCTTTGAGGAAATATAGATGTTCAAACATAACAAACTAATTGAATTTTATTTTTTTAAAATTCGAAGTCTTAAAAGAATATTCAATTATAGGTTTATTCTTCGATAACTTCGACTTTTTTGGGTCATCACTCTTGAATCATATTTTAATTGATATAATTTATAAGATAATTCGCTTAAAAGAATGGTATGTTCAACTATGATCTTTAGTTCCTAAGCGAGTTCGCCCCCATAAACCTTTCGAGCTGAATTGTGATCATTTTGCAGAATTTTATGTCGAAATTCTACCGATAGATAGATCTAATAATGAAATGAGTGTCCCAAAAGTTTCACATCGAAATCCTGTTTTTTTTCTTTTCAGTATATACCTAAAGTTGGTTCGAATAGGGAGTAAAACGATCCTAACTTGACTCCAAAAGAAGAAAACATCTCCCTTTCATTATGAAGTACTTTCTAGTGACAGATTCAATAACCAAATATCTTCCATACAGCTAATCCTAGCTATATCTCTGGACAAAAGGTCGATCTGACGCAGATTTCCTTCGCTTAATTTCTCGAACTTCTCATGCACACTCATTAACCATAAGAGCACGGGTATGTCACAATATAGTCAGCATGCTATTTGGTCAATGATCCGAGACAAACAGCTGTTCTTATTTGTTCCAAAAGATCATGAGAACAAACCATTTTAGTCTTTTTCTTGTGTTATCGTGACCTTCTTGTAGGCTCAATATGAGTTCGAACTGCAGATGCCAATCGAAGCGATTCTCTCATTAGTAAATACCAAAGTTTTTCATTAATTTCGAAAATCCGCCCTATAGTATTCTGAGATTTTCTAAGAAATGTCTTCTTAACTATTAGTAATTAACAAGATTTGCTAGAAATAACCTTCTTATACGTTTAGTAATTTCTAAAATCTCAACATACTACTTCACTAAAACGATAATACTTTACATTAATTGAAGTAGATCTCTTTTATTCACTCAATTTAGATTAGAATTATATTTTGAAGATGTTCACCAATACGTTACGTCTTGTCAAGTCATAGAAAAAAATGACATACCATGATCAATATTAGAAACCTTAAGAAGATTTATGTAGCAATTTTTGACTATTTAAAAGTGCCTAGAAAATGTTTTGATCACGAAAACTTGATTGAGGTGTCTCATAGCTTTGTTTGATCGAGACCATATTCATATGAGTGGCTTTAGTAAATCGTGTAAAAGCCTAACAGAATTTATGCCATTGAAAATTTCATCTGTGAACTGTTTCAAGACGAAATTCGATGTTCGTGGTAACCTAAGAGAAACCACAGCTTTCTGCTAAAAATTTAGTAAAATTTCGATATCTCACGAACAATGACTTTGACAATCGAGCCTCTTTTAGGCTTTTACACTAATTGCCATGGCTTTTCAGTTGAATAAAATCTTGAGCAAAAAGTGATAGAAGGGATATGAACATTCTCTCTCATCACTGAATTTTTTTACACACGAAATGTTTCAAAAATTAACCATGCAAGTGTTTTTCCTCCCTTCCCTGTTCAAAATGTCAAACAATGAATAAATAATTTAATCACATATAATTATATCGCGATCGTCTTTTAAAATCGAAGGCTATTGTTTTATCATTTTCTCTCACTTTCTCTCTCTCGCTCGCTCGATATTCGTATAATATCCATTTTTTTTTTTGAGAATAACTCCAATCTGTGTTTTACTTCAAGCAACACATATATAGACACACACAAAAAACACAAAACAAAAGAAAAAAAAAATTTTTTATTTTATTTCGAAGATGGCGAATGATTATTTCGTTGTATTTGTTCAATTACATTCCATAATTTAAGTGCTTTACCAATTTTAAGTGTTGACATATGAAAAACTTGTTCACGTGTTAATTCATATAATTTATTTCCATTAATATGATATTGATTTAATAGAATTGATGCATATTCATATCCTTGTTTATGAAAAAATTCAATTAAATCATCTATTGTCCAATTATGAACATCAGGTATATCACCACGTAAACCAAGTAATTGTTCAATTGTTACTGGTGGTAAATGATTATTTGTAACTAATGGTTTTCGTACGATATGTTCAATAGAATCTGATGTATTTATTAAACGTGTTTTTTTATTATTTTTATTTGTTGTTGAATATGTTTGACTTCGATTTCGTTTTTTATTCGATAGAATATTATTTTCTTTTGTCATTTGACATTTTTCTGGTATAGATTCTAGAGAAAAAAGAAAATTTTTTTGTTATTATTAAAATTATAGATAAATCTTCTTGTTTGTTTGTTTTTTTTTTCTTTTATTTACCAGTTTTAAATACAGCAAATTCTGGTGATGGTGTTTCACGTTTATGATGAATTGTATCATTTGAATTTGTTATTGACCATGATGGATCAATAAGTTCACTTGTTAGAGAATCATGAGAATCTATGGATATTGGTGTTGTAGTTGATGATTTTGAATTACAACATAAATTTAAATTTTCAATTAATTTTGCATATCTTTCATTTTTAATTCGTATTGTAAAACCACCTTTATGAAATACTTTTGTTATAAGTCCATATTTAAGTAATTCATCAAGTATCAATAGTGTTTCATTACGTTGTTCAGTTAAATTTTTTGTTGTCGATCGTTTTGATACATATTTAAGTATACGTTCAAGATCTGGACGACATTTACGTCGTTTTATTTCATCAATAGCTTGAAATACAGGATGAAAACGTACATCTGTTAAAATATTTAATAAATCACATGATGCTACTGTATGATTATTAATATCACTCGGATTTATTGTTGAATAGGAAGAAGATGAAGTCGATGAACATGATGAAGAATCATTAATATCGGAAATAGAAGGAGGAGGTGTTGGTAAATTTCTTTTACGAATAAATGATGGTGATAATGATGTTCGATGATTTATTTTTGTCATTGGAGACAAGATCATCTGAAAACAAAACAAAAAAAGAAAAACAAAGAAAAAAAATTTTTCGACTACAATCTATGTTAGAAGAGAGAACATAGACGCATGCGTCTGTTGTTGTTTTTTTTTTCTTGTGTCGCCGACGTCTCTTGCTAAAAGAGAGAGACACAATCATTACAGTTCTCTTCTCTCTCTGTATGCAATGCAATGATGGATGATCACATTGCGTTATGTGTACGCCGAAGAGAAAGAGGGAGCGGGAGAACACACTCTTTTTCTTTTTTTTTAAGGATAGAACGCTTCGTGCACACTTGCACTTAACTTACTCGAGAAAGAAGAGAGAAAAGAGAATAATTATACGACGACGAATGTTCAATCGAGGTCACAAAGAGAGAAAAAGTCTTCTCACATCTTTTTTTTTTTTCGAATATACAATATCTCATTGTTTCAACGAAAAAGTGAGAGAAAGAGACAGTACGCGAGAGAAAACATATTGATGTACACAGAAAGAACAAAAAGAAAAAACAACAATAGCAACAATAAAGAATACGCGAACTCTTCTCGTTTGAAAATAAACAAAGATGGAAAGAAAGAGCATAAGACTAAACTAGCGCCATCCATACTAAATCTTTGACTATATTTCTCTATGCATAGAATATAAGGAATAAGACGAACAATATTCGCGCTTACGCTTGCGCTCAGAGGATAGAGAATGAAAGAGAAAGAAAGAAAGATAAGTTTAATGTCCAGGCAAATCTATTATTATTTTTATTTTTTTTTCTATTAGTTTATTAAACATTATTTCTAATAGAAAAAAAATCATTAAAAAATATATGTAAATCACTCATAATTATTTAATCAAAATATTGTCAATAACAAGGATAACGATGATGAGAAGACTGCTCGATATCGGGTAGTAGTAATAGTCTAGTATAGTGGGTAGGGAGAGAGAGAGAAGTAGCAAAGGCGTGCGAGCGAGCAACTCAGCAATGCTTGTTCTCTGTCTCTCTCTCTCTCTCTCTTCTTTCTTGCAGGAGAAAATAAAAGAGAGGACACACACACACACAAACATACGCACTGAGGCAAACGAGCAAGCAAAAGGGAGGGAGAGAATGGGAGAGACGCGACGAAAAAGCAAAAAGGTTTTTTTCGGTTGTTAATAAATAGGAATCATAAGAAAGCACAACACGATACACGTGTACATTCTTTTTTTTTTGTTCGTCTCGATCTTAACACAGATACGCTAAATAGATTTCAAACGGATGGAAAATACTTTTCTTTGTTGACTATTCATTTCTGTGAATGGATTAATTGAAAAGAGAAACAATGGACATGTTTTTTTAACTTTTTTTTTGATTTTAATATATATATATACACCCTCGATGATGTTCTCTATATTCGTCATGTCAATGCACACATTTGCTCTTTTCTGTTTCAACAACAACCAAAAGAAATATATGATAACGAGGAGTATGCATCTTGCTGATACTACTACTGTCTTGTTGTTGTTGCTGTTGTCAATATTATGGAATATATCGAAATTAATAAAGATAATTTTTCTCAAGTTCTGTCTTTTTTATTTGTGTTCAGTTGTATTTTGAATAAAATGATCAAGTTGAAAGAAAGATCCTCTAGAGATTAACTATAGTTTTCGCAAAGTTAATTATTTGTCATGATGGTCTCTGTTGAGAATGTTCTATGTATAACATCAATCTTTATCAATATCTGCTGTTTGCAATAGAAATGCTTATATATTAATTTCGCTGTAAAAATAAAATACAAAAAATTCAATAAACGAATAACAAAATTGTATGAAATGATTTAGATTGAAACATATGAATGTTATATTCTCATTATTCTCTTAATAAAAAAAAATTGGAAGTAATAACTGATTATATGAGAAGTGACGCGCTCTTGCACACATTGGATATGGTAAAAATGAGAATCGAGTATTGAAGGCAAGAGAACAAGAAATAAGAAGGCAAATCGTGTGCTATGTACTACGGACATTGATAGTTCTCTCTTATCTCAACGTGTAAATGTACCGAAGAAGTCAATGCATGTTTAATGCCTTCATTCAGTTCAGCTATGTTAAGTAGCGAAAGAACAATAAATAGAGGATCATTTTATTTCTGATTTCTTTTTAAATTATTAATCTTTTATTTATGAAGAAAAATTAGCCATTTACAAATAAAATCTTGCAACAATGAAGCAATTTTTTGACTTATTTATTAAGAGATGTCTCCATGTCAATTGCGATCAGTCTGTCTTTTTCTTTGACTTTCTCTCTTGCTGTATTCCAAGTTATAAAAGAAAAAAAAAAAAAAAAAAAGAAGAACGAACAAAAAAGAAAGAAAAAAGAGAAAAGCGAACACATGCAGCAATACGAGTTAGATAATGCACCTTTGATATACTTATTCCTGTATTTCTCATGTTTTGCGTTTATTAGAAATGAATATCTAGTATACTTATATGAAGGATTCTTTTTTTCTTCTTGTCGAAAGTTTTGTCGATTCCTTTTTTTTTTCTTTTTGTTTCTTTTGAAATCGAAATAAACAGATAAACAAATAAGTCTCATCCTATAGCTCGCGTTACGTGACGGCGACTACTCTTTTGTTGTCTTTACGTCAATGTTGTTGCTATTCGAGAGCGCTACTAGCTACAGTGAGCGTATGGAGAGTAAGCAAGGACGAGAACAGCGGTAAAAAGCAGAATATGAGAATGAGACAAGCAAAAGAGAAGAGAACAAGCGAAATCATCGAACCAACCAGAGAGCTGTGCGCATTGTCTTGCTAAGCAATTTGGCTACCATCGTTCTCCTTTTTTTTTTTTCTTAAAGTGATATGCTAGGACTTTGCATGTTCGCATATATTATCAAAACATTCAACACTAGTTTTCTAGTTTCTTTTTTGTTTTCAAAACATGCATGATACACAAAATAAGTCTTTTGGAATCAAGTTTATTTTATTTAACTACAAAAAGAAATTCTTTTTCCTCATGAAAATATAAATATATTTCGTATCAAATGAAATAAAAAATGAAATGATTCTAAGAAAGATTTGCACCATCAGGAATATTATTTCTCTTTTATGGATATTCTTTTTTTTTTGATTACGATCACATTGTGTTTTTAATGAGTGAGAAAAGAAAATAACCAAGCAAGCATTGCCTACAAATGTTACCAAAAAAATATGCAATTTGATCATCTTTATAAAAAAAGAAAACAAATGGAATAGACTTTACTAATACTTAGCTTATATTTTTATTCTATATATTTAGGAATTTAGTTATAATTTATTTCGAAAGAAAAAGAATCGAATGGTTCAAGAAAATAATATTCAATTTTATTGAACAATGCTTTAGTTCATTTTTTCATTCATTCGAGTTTGTACTATAAAATAAAGTGAATAATTTGATATTCTCTGTGATTTAATTGATTATAAAAATAGATAAATAGACAAGAAGAATTTATTTAGAATTATGAATCTGCTTCTCATAAGAACAGCACACTTTTTGATTGTTCAATTGTTAGCAAATTTTCAAAATGTATTAATCATTATCTAAAATACTTGCTAGTATCTATATAAAAACCGAAGAATGAAAGATATTTACGAAAAAGTCATTATAATTGTCATTAATGCAAAATCAAGTACTTATAAAAGAACATATTCAAATGTCAGCTGTCGTTCGATTTGATATTATGGCTACGGGTAATTTCCAGTAAGATTAGAAAATTAAATATTTCGAAAAAGATATGATTCGTTTTCGTTGAAATTGGCTAATGCTCTGTACAAGTACGATTTTTCATAATCGAATTCGAATAGCTATAGTCGGTGTCTGATCAGAGTGTATCGACATCTACCAAATATTTTCACAGTTATAGTACAATTTTCATACTTTTCTTCCGTAAACATCAACAAAAAAGAGATCATTTCGAACCCCCTCCAAAAAAAAAACAAGTGAATCACATAATGTCTTTCTGTTTCTAAAATTCAATCACTTTTGCTAAGTATATGTTTGCTTGTTACTAATGACGTTACGATGGGACACAACGTTAGTGCTAAACATCATAATTGCGGATATATACATGAATTCTTTTTTCCATCATGGTAATATATGTTCACCTTTTTTTTTTGATAATTCATTTTCATCTTAATGCATTCAATTACTTTGTCATTTGTATTATTAGTTATTCAATCAAGTTTGAACCAACTTTCACTCCTATGATTTTTATTTAAAAATCATTTTGAAAAAGTATAAATATTTTGAAACGTAAAAGCCTTATTCATTGTTGAGTCGGATCCGGCTATGATTTCATACGCGAATGTAAACTTGCATATTTTTCATGTCCGGCACACGACCAGATTGTAGGACACTAGTTTAGATTAATGGAACTTCCTTTGAAGGTTATAACTGCTTTACTGACTTTTTCATTGATTTCAAATACTCTAGAAATTAATCTATTATATAAACTTCATGTCATCTTCATCTATGACGAGAAAGGGTGAAGTATGTAGTAAACTGAGACTATAGACAGAGGATTGTCAAGCATTATCTTGTGATCGTGTAAAATGCATTTTCATGGTTTTTGAAGGAGTTCATGATCCACATAAATGAAACTGTACTTTATATTTATCAATATAAATCAAAAACAAATATTTATTTCTTCTGTTTAGAGTATTAATATTTCAATACAGACAATTTCTGTATTGAAACATTATTACAATGAAATTTTAAACATCAACGTAAGTTAGTTATCAATGCTAACATTTATGTTCTTATGCGATACACGTTGAAATAATATTTTAAATTAATTGAATCGATCGATATGCGTACTGGTTAGAATGAAAATGCTGTATATAATACATTTAAATCTATCTTAGTAGTGTAGCTAAAAACAATTTAGGCAGAAGAACTCAGCCTTCTCCTAAGCGATCGAAATCAGGCCAGTTAAACTCTTCTACAAGCTCTTTCACTAGACAAAGCCGTGACTCACACTATCTAAATCC